TGATGGTTTGTTTAAGGTGTGGACAGGATTGGTTCATTCATAAAGGATCCATTAAATACTTGCTAACTATTTGCCTGGCAAACAGAGATGGAGAGATGGTTTAAGGGAGAGGAGTGGTCAGAGAGCTTACAAAACATTGGCCTGGGTGAGAAATGCAGCCCAAATATTTGCAGTACAGAACAGACCATGGTAAAACACAGGCTTGCTGCTGAGCGTCAATTGACTCTCCCAGAGTTGGGAAAAATTGTGGAGGGGATATATTAGTATTGATGCATAGATAACTCTCAAGAGATCAGAGAAGAAGAGGCCTTCCAGGGGACAGAATAGTCATATAAGTGGAAAGTCACCAGTGATAAGCTTGGAAGGAATGACGTTAGCATTCTTTGGTTTGGACAGGAAAACTGCAGAAGGAAGAATTGGTCTGTGGAGGTTGCATTGCTCATGTTCTGTAGGGTTCTCCCTACCACGTCTATGATGTGACATGGACAGCTAACACAGAAAGCTTGTCTTGGGGAAAGGTGTTTTCCAAAAGGAAAGATATGTGCATCTTCTCTTTGGCTCCTGGGTGGCCACAGAGCTTTTCTATCACCATGAAAGGCTAATGAGAGCATGCTTCTGATGAGTATGAAAGCTGGAGAACAGAGTTCCTGGTTCCCACCTGTGCTTCTCATTCAGCCGGCGGGTGGCTTCGTTTTCTTCTCTTCCCTGAAAGAGCAGCTATGTCTATCTTTAAATCCATTTCACATTGTTCTAAAGAACATCGCAAGAACTGTTCAGTTTATTCCCATCATAGCCTGTGGGGAAGCAGACACCTGCCCTTTCCAGGGCTCTTCTACATGATGACTCATGTCCCACTGTTCCCATCATTCGTGTACCCTGGATATGGGACTGTGCTCCAGGCAGGCTTTGAGAAAAGAACATGCCATGCTCAAAGATGCTTCCTATACAGCTCCTGGGACAAAGTCGAAGACCCTCAGCCTTGACTTGCAATACAAATGCTTAATGAAGGTTTATAAACAATAAAAAAGGCGGTGCCCTGCCATCAGAACCTGTTCCTGATGTGGAAAGAGCACTCATGGAAACACCTGCGTGTGGCGATGTCAGGTGTTCTTAGTTGATGGTAAAACAGTGCAGAGGTTTGGTGGCTTAGAAATTACTTAGAGGCAGAAACTCTACTTACATCAAAATATACCTTCAATCTTTTGGAGAGTACTCAAGCTATAAGTATATTTTACAGAAGTACAGATTTTTAAAGATAGATGGTCAGTAAACTATAGATGTGTTAGAAATTGATTGAATACAGAATATCAATAGTTGTTTAAAGGAATCTGAGATTGTCAAGATTAATGATTTGTTTTATCAAAGACCTAGGGATAACTTCTGATGAAATGTGGACATGATCACCAGATTAACTTTCATTCTCCTTGATTGGAGAATTAAATTTCCTGAGTTTACAAGATACCCAAAGGTAGGATGGGCTTACATTACCATGGAGACAGATAATGCTGCGTTCTAGGTAGGGCATCTCTTCCATAACCAGTCACCCAGGCAACCACACTGACCTAGAGAGGAGTAACCAAACCCAGTTTTCCATGCACATGGTACTTGTAGCTTCTTTACAACCAGACTCCTTTTTTTTTTTTTTTTTTAGTGCAAGCAGGGGCTCATCACTTCCTTGGAATAATCACTGCTGCTTCTGGGATGTGTGACCATAATCAAAACAGCCTTATCTTAGAGGAATGTTCCAATCCACACCTCCAACTTCAGAAATCCCCCAGGAAAAACTATCAAAAGATTTAGAAATGATTTTTGTTAAGTGATTTCTTTGGGAGAGCCTTCGAGCAACATGAAGTCAGATTGCGTCACTGTTACCTGGTCTGTTAGGCCTGGATGGTATTAGAGCCAGTTTGGATTTTACTGCTGTTAAAGTTTGTGATGTTTTGGTTTGTAGAACATTTGCCTGTTGCAAGATCAGGCTTCCTTCTTTATTTTTTTTTTTTTCTTTTTTGGTTCTTTCCTCTTTCTAGAGTAAAAGCCATTCAGTGAAAAGATACACTAATGTTTTTATGAACACTGATGAATTTTTCCTCCCAAAGTTAAACTGAAGGCATTGTTTTTCCATACCTGCCATGTCAGGAATGATGTATATGTATATGTATGTATGTATGTATGTGTGTGTGTGTGTGTGTGTGTGTGTATAATTTTTTTTTTAGAGATTCTGTGTAAGGCTTGGTGGAGCCAGACTCATCATGATAACATCCTGCAGGTGTCTTCTGTGGACTTGACCTGTAGGAACCATCTTTTCTTGGGCTGTATTTTCCCATTGTAACAGTGATGGGGGTATAGACCACCTACATCTTAAATGTGTTTTTGTGCCTTTTGGAAAAACCTGCTGATGTTGAAACTGTTAAACCCTGCATTCTTCTTTTTCATGGGGATCCGTCAGTCCCAGAACAAGTTAGGGGAACTGAAATTCTGATGAACTGCCATTTCTTGCCTTCACCCATCCCTGGATTAGGTAGAATGCCTGTGAAGCATTGTTGGCCCCTGGAATAGTCATCCTCAGGAAAGCATTCTTTAGTGCTTAGGTCACTGATGACATTCTGCATCACGGTGGAAGTGTTTCCTGTGATTTTGATTTCCTTAGAGTCATCAGGGGTGTTTCTGCTTTCTCATTGCCCCATTGCAAAAACTTAGCATGCTTCATTCTCACTCTTTGGTTCTGCTAAATAGAAATTGTCTTCCTTTATTATTCACTGTGTGCTGGGCGTTTGCAGTGCTTTGCATGGCGCAATTCATTGAATCTGCGCCAACTCTCTGGAAGGTACTGTCGTTATTCCATGTTTCTGATGAGGAGACTGAGGCCTAAGATGGAGGTTGCAGAGCCTGGGCTGGAACCCAGGCCTGGCCCGAGAGTGATTCACCTCTTTGCTCCTGCTCCATGGTGTTCCTTCACCCACCCCGAACCCGGGAGGCGTTTGAATGGGTGCCATTTCTTTGAAGTGCTGATGTCTGAATCTGCATGGATCCTCTCTGGATCCTCCACTGGCCTCCAGTGGCACTGAGAGAATTTCTGCTCTGTCACTTAGTAACTGTATGATGTTTGGTGGGTGTATTAGTGAGGGTTCAACCAGAGGAGCAGAACTAGTAGGAGACCTATTGAGATATTATTGGAAGGAATTGGCTTATGCAGGTGTGGGGCCAGCTAGGCAGACTGGAATCCACAGGGTGGCCGTCAGCAAGACAGGCTGGAACTGCTGCAACTGCTATCCACAGAAGTTCTTCGGCCCCCTCAGCTTGGTTTTTAAGACCTTTCGACTGATAAGATCAGGCCCATCCTGATTATCTAGGATCTTTTCCCTTATTTATGATCAACTGATTATGGATCTTGAACACATCTACAGAGTACCTTGCCAGTAGCACCCAGATTGGCATTTGAATAACTGAGGGCAGTACCCTTGCCAAGTTGATACAGCAAAAAGACCGACTTAGCAAGTTGCTCAGTTTCTCTGGAGTGGTTGGTTTCAACTGGTATTCTTGCCTTAAATCTCTTTCATCCCATCTCTATTTTTTTTCTTCTCATGGCCATCATGAGAAGCTTAAAGTAGCTTACTACTCTCCATCTGTGAAATATGTCTTGCTGAAATTCAAACACTATGCTTACAGCTTTCCTGGGCACATCAGCGTAATACTATCACTGCCTCCAAAAAAGCTCCCACACCCTGCTTGTTAAACTTACTAGTGGGAGGGAGGACGGCATTCTGCTGCAGCCCTGACACTCCTGCTGTTTTGTTCCTGTGTGATTGAGGGTGGGACATGCTTGAGCACTATTTCTCCAAAAGAGGCTATCGCATCTAAGTTGTGTTTCTTTCTCTTTTGATTTAAACTGAGACAGAACTCCCAGCTGGGCCTATTATTTCACCACTCTGATTCTCAGATGTAAGATGAATAGATTGGAGGAGATGATTTCTCTGGCTCCTTTTCCCTCCAGTTAATCTGTAACTACATATTAAGAAAACTAGTTATCTTTTTAGAATTTTCTCCAAATCTTTTGTAATAATTTTAATTAATTAATTAATTAATTATTTTGGTATCGGGGATTGAGCCCAGGGGTGCTCTACCGCTGAGCTACGTCCCCCAGTCCTTTTTCTTTTTTCTTTTGAGATACGGTCTCACTAAGTTGCTGAGGGTCTCACTAAATTGCTAAGGCTGCCCTTGAACTTGCAATCCTTCTGCCTCCGCCTCCCGAGTTGGTGGGATTACAGACATGTGTCACTGTGCCTGTCCAATAAACTTTATCTTTAACGCATAACTAGGTTTTTTTCCATATCAACCCAAATATTTGAAAGACAATACTTCATTATAGTTAAATGAAGTAATAAAAATTTATCTAGGAAAATTCTCCTCTTTCCTACTCCATTAGATGAGAAACAGTGTGTGAACAAATGAATGAACTTGGGAACTGTTGTAGTCTATTGGACTTGATGACTTTTTTTTGGCCTTTTTCGTAACTGATTGTCTAAATCCAATGCATATTAAACTATTTGGCATATTTCTGATTTCCCTGGCTCATAAACTTTTATTCGTCTTCCTACTTATTCCTACTTTATCTCATCTCCTGAATGTGGTAATAAACCTTTGTTTTCAAAGTTTTTCTTTTTCACCATGATTCTGGCTTCTCCTTTGGTTACATGGCTGTTAGCCACGGGTGCTACAGAAGGTATTCAGTTCCCATGGTCTTTTCACATGGTATCGTGTTTTTGAAGATAAATTTTAAGACACTTTAAGAACAAAGACCATAGTTTTCTAAACAAGCAAGAGATGAGTCACACCTGCAAATAACGCTTTGGGGTTGAATGACATACAAGCAGGGGATATGGTCATGAACCTCAAAAAAGAGTGTGCTTTAGGCTTGTTTGTTATTTCTTTCTCACATTATTTACACATATTATTTATGTATAAATAATAACATTTCTCAGTGATTTTGGCCTCCCCTCCGTCCCCACACCACCGGTGGCACCCAAGCCCTTATTTGACATGAGTGAGAAAAACATAAGGTTCACAGGAGGAGCTGTCAGCCTCAGTTCCACAAAGAGTAGTCTCTTTCTTTGGCCACTATCCTATTTTCAGCCCCTCGCACAGCCTCTGGTTTATAATAGGCACTTCATGAATATTTATTGATTGAATTATCTGCAGGACATTTTAAGATCACAGTGACAAACACTATTTGCCGGGCGGCCATCCAAATGAGGGAATAACTAGCTCTTGTTTCCCTTCCAGGTTGTGCCGCAAGCTGGCTTTTGAGTTCCTTCTCTGGTTTGGAAGCCATAAACATCATTTCTCTCTGCCCCCAGCTTGTCCCACTCTGTGTAGTTGGTTAGTTTCACCTTGAACACCACTCCTTCATGAGGCACCAGCGAGAGCATTAGCATGCACCATTCAGGAGACCCAGAGCACCTGCTGATCTTCAGTGAATGATCCTGTGTGACAGCCTAAGCAAATCCGAGTGTGACCTCAGTCCTACTCTAGAATACATGAGCAGACCTGGGAAAAATCCCTGGCCCTTCCTGGTGAGTGGGAGGGATGTGTCATGTAGGTAACTAGATCCTCTCTCAATCATTTTAAGCCCAACATAATCCCCACGGTTTTCTGACACCCTGGCATTGTTCACAGTCTCACTCTCTGTTTTCCCCAACCCAAGCCAGTTCAGTTTTGCCACCTGCCAAGTAGTTGTGTGGGCCCATTTGCATCCTGTCCTCCGAGTCCTAACTCTGTCCTGTAACTTTTTTGTCTCATTCTGCATTGGGTTCTCTGTCTGCCTGTGCTGTATTTGGCATCCTGAACACATTCCCTGCTGTTCTCCTTGGCTTTTTTTGTTCCTCATGACAGCCAGCCATTTGGTTGGAAGATGTAAATGTTATGCTGGTCACTTTTGCAGATGGCATATGTTGGTGAGACTTAGGGAGAAGTTAGATAGAATATTATTCTCGAAAGGTGTTGATAGGGACATACCAAAGAGGAAAAAAAAAAAGAGAAATAGAACACTTAAGTATTAAAAAAGGGGGAGGGCATGAAGTGGAAATGAGTGGGTTAAAAACAGCCCTGTAGGAGATGTGGGTCATGTCAAGGAAAGTTCTATTGGGGAGTCAGGAGACCTACATAGGGTTCCTCTGTATGGTAAAAGTACAGATGACTTAATCAACATGGATTCTCTTTTGGAAAAAGGGTATTATTTTAGACTATCTGTAATGTCAATTCCAGTTCTAAAATTATATAAATCAATGGATCAGCATTGTGAAGTGAAGGCCTAATATATAAAATAAAAGCTTAGGTGGTCTTACGCATTAAGAAAGCATAATGCTCAGGCACGATGAATCAGTTTCTCCCCTCCGCTCTGGAGCACACAGTCCTGGCTGCTGTTTTCCAGTGGTGCCGTATATCAAAAGATTTCCATCCACAGTATGTCTGGAAGAGAGCAGGCCGGCTGGTGATGTGGCCTCCTGTGAGTTATGTTTGGAAGAGCCGCATGGTTTGGTTTAGGAGAAAGAAGAATGTGAGACAAGTGTGCAGGTGTCCTGCTGGTCAACACAAGTGTGAGGAATTCTGCCCCATACAGCTTCTCTCAGATGCCACCTCCGTCATGGAGCCTTTGTGAAGCATTGCAATCCAGGCTCCCGGTGACACTTTTCATCCTGCTGTGTGGCGGGAGGTTTTTGTATGTGTCCTACCGAGTTCTTTGAGAGCAAATGCTATGTTGCATTCACATCTTCTCTAGCTCATAACCCATGCCTTGCACAACAGTAGGTAAGCAAACTCTCGGAACTGAGCTGAAAGCTTATTCAGCTTCTCAGACATAGGGTTGATGGGTAGAAATTACAGAGAAATATTTTGGCCCTCCAAGAAGCAAACTTTTCAAATAACTGGACTGTCTTCAATTTACACAGATGAGGAGGTAACACAGCACCATTCATTCAAATGAATACATGAAGCAGGTTTTGGTGAGGATGGGGACCCCTGGGGCTGTCACCACTGTAGGGAACAGCATAGGACCTCATGGGCACCCTGGGGTCGCTTTCCAAAAAGTATATATACTTACCTCATAACCCTTACTCTCCCAGATGTTAACCCAAGATAAATGGAAACACTTACCCCCAAAGACATGCATTGATATCTGTAGCAGCCATCTTTACAATAGCCAAAAATTAGTCATCAATAAATGAATTAAATGGATTAAAAAAATAGGATAAGCTCACCTGGTGGAAAATTACTTGGTAATAAAAGGAACAACCTGCTGATACACACAACATGAAGAAATCTCAAAATCATTATACCAAGGGAACAAAGCCAGACTTGAAGGCATATGACTTTAATATTTTATTTATGTAAAATCTAGAAAATGCGAATATTTAAGTAAACAAAGCAGGTCGGTGTTCGCCTGGGGTAGAGGGTTGAGAGAGATGGACTGCAAAGAGACATGGGGAAACTTTTCATTTTTTTTCTTTTAACTCTGTCTTAGTTTTGGCATTAAAATAGACACAAATTTAAACTTTAAACATTTTAAAAATTTTGTTTATTTATGTTTTGTGATTCTGGTCATCAAACCCAGGGCTCTATGTGTGCCAGGCAAACCCTCTACCACCGAGCTAATTTTTTTTTTAATGTAGCCATTTCTTTTATAATTTTTACCTTTGGCATTGGACTTCAAAATACCTTACTTAAAGATTATGTAAATATTCATTGATTTGATTTTTTTCATATGCTATTACCCTTGCTTAAAGATTATGTAAATATTCACTGATTTGATTTTTTTTTCATATGCTATTATGCTTTAGTTTCCTTATATTTAGCTTATTATTTCACTTTTTTTTCTTAGTTAATAGGGAAATATAGAGATCTAACATCTGAAATAGTGAAGGGATTGACCTGACACCAGCTACTGAAGAATCCACCGTTTCCTCAGTTATGCATTGAGGGTGATGTGTGAGGGGTTGTGTTAACTGAGACTACAAACACAGTTCCTGCCCTCTAGGAGCTGTGCCTGGGGAGGGGGTTAGTGAAGAGGATTACAGAGAAGTGAATTGAGCTCAGTGGTGGCATTGATTACAAAGCACTGTAATATTTAGAAGGGGCCCCAATAGGGTGGCAAGTTTTGGGGACAGTGGTCAGAGAGCTTCTAGTAGGAGATAACATCTCATCTGCCTGACAGGTAAGCCTGTGCTAACCTGATTTTGGAAGAGGGCATTTCAGGTGAGGGATAAACATGCTCAGAGAAGCAAGTCCATGGGTGGGGGCGGCAGACGACTGGGGAGTCTTATGTAGCATGCTTCACTGTCACCTGGGCATGGGGTGAGGCTAGCGGACAGGCCATACTGTGTCCTTATATTTTGTGTCATAAACTCATAGGAGCCACAGTTGGATTTTAAGCAATGGAATGAAATAATGAAATAATAATGATTATTGATTTGTCTCATGTTGCCTTGCTTAAAAAGGGTAGGTAAAATTTATATTTTACTATTTATATGTGGACTTTCTTCGGAAATCAGAATTATCTGGCACTATTGTTCTGATCTAATCTAACTCCAAAGCAGGCCTCCTCCTTGGTTTGACTCACACCTCGGTCATCCTTGACAACATCCTTCAGTCTGATGGTTTATACGAGGGTGGAGTTGCTCCTTGGTGTCTGGATCTCATACCTGGCTATAAGCCCACTATACTCAATTCAAATAAGGGATGAATTTACTGCCTAACACATGCTCAACAAAATTTCATGGATTCAGTATCTATCTCATTTAAAATTTTTACAGATATTTTTATCTCATGCTTTGCATGTGAAAGGTCTGTAAGGATCTCTGAAATTCATCATAGGTTCTATTACACAGATCAGGAAATGACTTATCAAGAGCCACACAATGAATTAGGAAGTGAGTGGATGAAAATGCTCCTTTCAACAGGTGCCTCCTTATTGCCATTCGGTCCCCTGGTCTGCTGAGGGCTGAGCTATCTGTGTGGGGTATGGAACAGTGTTCTCATTGCAGCAGGGGCCTGAGCTTGAACTAGTGTCTCTCACTTTCCTACCACTGACTGGTGGATATTTTATGAAGTGCATGCCATCAGGAAGTTCTTTCTTTGGAAGAATCCTCAGGAATCTGGGCAAGTTGTCAGGGTCTACTTGGTCATTTGCCATAACAAAAGCAGATGCCTTTGGCAGATGATGGGCTGTTCCCTGACTCCCCAACAGACCTATAGACTCTTTCCAGAGTGCTGAACACAGCATCCACTGCTGTTGTCAATCCATGATCCGGTACTTGCCAATGATTGCCAATGGTGCCGCGAGGCTGCTGTGTTCCAGAGTCGGGTGTTACCCTTCCTTTACGAAGGGAATCTTTAGTAGGCGGGGAAGATTTTTCCTTAAGTCCTTCAAATATTTTGCCATACCGATCCCTCTGTCATACACAGGTCAGGACAAAGTCAGTCCAAGCCCTTGTTATTTCATGAGTAACTCCCTGTCCCTTCTGCTCAGAAAAACATGAAGCTGTTCCGTGGGAGTGGCACACAGCATGCTCATATCTTTAGCAACACAAAGTTCATGGCATCAGCAATCCGTATTTGTTCCTTGGGTTTAAGAAAACAACAGAAGGACTGCATACCTAGCTTCCTGAATAGTGGTATAAATTTGTCCGTTCAATGACATGTCCAAGATTGTGAATAACACCAATTTTTTTTATTGATGTATTCATTTTTTCTGGATTAAAAAAAGTGATATGTGTTAGTTATAGAAAAAAAGGGTAAATTAAGAAAAAAAATTAAGTGTATTCACCAGGTCTTTTCTTTTCCATACTGCTGCTTCGACCTCTGGGCCTTGCTGACCTTGGAGGGACAGCTCCTTCCAGGGTGAGCCAGTTCCTAGAGATTGTAAACAACTCGTCCTTGAGAGCACTTTTCAAATAAAAAGCAATCAATCCAGAGCCCACAACCCAACCCAGCTCACAGTTTGGGCGGCTGTCCATCTGCCCTAAATCACCCCGGGGACAGACAACTAGACACAGCTCCTCTGCCCCAGAACTTGCTAAAGGTATTCGGACCAGCCAGTCCTGAACTTGCTGCCACGCCCCTCCCTGCAGAAGCCACAGTTAAGGCTGTCGCCCACAGTTCTCCCTGTCCCTCTGCCCAACCCCAGTGCTTTCCCTTGTGGTCCCCTTGGTGGCTAAGCATGCCCCTTCTCTCAGGAACTGTAACAACCTACCTTTTCAGTGCCAGTTATATCCCCATCTGTTGGCCCTACAGTGCAGTGGTTCCCCTTATCCAGGGGGAAACTTCATCTAGGACTCCTGATATATGCCCCAAACCATGGGTAACACTGGACCCTATGCATGCTGTTTCTTTTCTCATCTATACATATCTATGGTAAAGTTTAACATATAAATCAGGCATTGTAAGAGGTTAACAATGATAATAAAACAGAACATTTTTGACAATATAGTGTAATAAAATTTTTTTTTGAATGCGGTCTCTCTCTTGAAAGACTCCAGGCAAATATTAATATTTTAAAATTTTCTTTTAGTTGTAGATG